GACCAGCTCCAAAGGCCCCTGGCCTTCTTTCCCTCTACCCCCCCCACACACACACACACATTCTCCTCCCCTCTGCCACAGGGCCTTGTGCTGTATCTCCAAGGTAGGCTTCTGCCTCAGGGCCTTTGCACAGCCATCTTTGCCTGCTGTGCTTCTCCAAGCCAGCTTCCTTCAGCAGGTCCTTGCCACACATGAGAGACAACCTACCAGCCCGCCTCTGTCTTCCCTTTGATTGACTTCATGACCTCTGGTGCTAACTAATTCTGGTTCAAGTTTATGCCTCTGTAGCTTTGTCATCCCGAAGACACTGAGCTTTGTGACAACAGAGTCCACCCTCACCCCAGTGCTCAGCACACAGTAGCAGTAGAAAGTTATCTTTGCCAAAGCTGAGGTCTGGCTCACTCAGGAGGAAGGAGCAAACAGAACCAGCTAGGGTTCAAGGGTTGAGGAAAGCAGTGCCCAGATTCCCAGCTGCTCCAGGCAGGTGGAGCCGGGATTCCTGAGTTCAATTCCCAGCAACCACATGGTGGTTCACAACCACCTTGAATGAGATCTGGTGCCCTCTGCTGCCATGCAGGCAGAAGACTGTATACATAATCAATAAATAAAATCTTTTTTTTTTAAAAAAAAAAGCCGGATACTTAAGCTGGGCATGGTGGTACATGCCTTTAATACTAGCACTTGGGAGGCAGAAGCAGGTCTGAGCTCAAAGCCAACCTGCTCTATAGGACAGCCAGGGCTACACAGGAAAACCCTGTCTTGAAAAACCAAAATAAATAAACAAATAAATAAAAATAAGATAAAAGCTGGATACTGTCAATCACACAGGCCTATATTCCCAACTGTTGGGCCTCTGAGGCAGGAAGGGTTGCCTTCTGAACCAGAACCAGGAGTTCTGGCAGATTGGGCAGCATTGTGAGACCCCATTTATCTATCAAGACAAACAGGTCTAAGGGTGTCTTCCAGTTGCCAAATTGCTCCCTAACATGCACAAAGCCCTGGGATCCCTCTTTATCATGGAATACACTAAACATGGTGGTTCATGCCTGTAATCCCAGATCTCCAGTGATAGAGACAAGAGGATCTAAGTTCAAGGTCATCCTTAGCTACATAGTAGGTTTGGGGCCAGCCTGGTGGACTATGAGACCCTGACTTAAAAAGAAAAAGATAAACAGAAACAAAAAGACTACTTTTTATGGGCAGGTTGGCTGCTCACATGTCTTCTGCCCAGGCCAAGAAGGTGCCCAGTCTTCACTTACCCTTTCAACACCGACAGGCCCATTCCTCTCTCGGACTCTAGTTGTGTGGACATCAGTCATTCATCCCATTTGCTTCTCCCCAGGGGCAAGACCGCACAGAGTGGGGTGTTTGGAGTGCCAGGCAGGTGGGGTTGACATTCTCTCTGCCTGGGGTCTGCTGCGCCCAGTCCAGGTCCCTGCCCCTCCTCTCCTGCCCCAGCAAGGCTCCCTGCCAACCCATTTGGCACTGTGCCCTCTTTGAGCAGGGGCCAGCTTGTTTGCAGCCGGTGTTAATTAAGAGAGAGGTGATGGGGGGAGGTGGGAAGGGCCGTGGAGGGCAGCACTGCCCCAGGGGCTAAGGGGGCTGGAGTCAGGCCTGGGCCCACCTGAGATGCCTAGTGTTCAAAACTGCTGGTTCCCATACAGTCCTGCCGGGAGTACAGCCCCTCATGTCTGCAGCCAAGCCTGCTGGGCCTGGAGCACTAGAGGCTAACTGAGGTAATAGAGCCTCCAGAGTGCTCCTCTCTGCTTTGAGAAAGTAGGCATGGGGGGGGGGGGGCATAACCACTCCTCTTTGGAGTTCTGAGAGACCTAGATTTAGTCTTTATTTATTTTGAACCAAGGTCTCCCATAGCCCAGGTTGGTTTATGTAATGAAGATGACCTTGAACTTTTGATCCTCCTGCCTCCACCTCCCAGAGTAGTAACAGGCATCAGCTACCATATCTGGTATATACCATGCTGGAAATCTAACCCAGGGCCTCCTGCATGTATAAGCCCCTGAAATGAGCTACACCCCCAGCTCCCACCGTACCCCAACTCTGTACACCTGTACTGTCCCAATCTCTCTCTCATTCTCTCTCTCTAAACTCAGTATCATTCTCTGTAAAATGGGAACAGGAGCCTCTCCCCGGTGGCTTTGCTGTGATGAAAAATGGGGTCACTTGTGAGAGCGGCCACCTGTCTCTTGCTAACAATCTGCTCCTTCCATAGAACCGTGTCCTGGAGAGCTTCTGGGGACCAGAATGGGACCTCTGCACCCTGTCCCTTCCTCCTTGGGTCCCTTGGTGGATGACCTCAGCTCTTACCCTATAGCGTCTCCAGCTACCTTGTCTATATGCTCAGCTAGCACCTTCTTTGTCCCTATGGTCCCCTCTTGGTTCTAGGAGCACCCGGCCGCTCCTCGACTCTCCATCTTAATTAGCTGCTTGTATTAATCTCGAAAGTAACGTGGCAACTTGCAGCCCTGAGTTTTCAGGCTGTGGAATTAATTATTCCCCAAGCGAAGAGCTGTGAGGTCTGGGAAACCAGCCACTGTGAGACACCCGACACCACTTAGCAACACCCATAGCTTTCGCACAGAGCCCTGGGCCACAATCTGGCCCCTAACCCTAAAGCAGAAAGCCCTGGAAGGTGGGGTAAGATTCAGCCCCCCACGCAGCTGGGCCTGGAAGCCAGGTGCCTGCTACCTGCTACCCAGGCCCCCTGGGCAACAACTAGGTCTTGGGAGACCTGTGGCCTCCACTAGTTCTTTATCTGGTTGGCATTGGGACCTTATGGATGCGCTACCTGCTACCCAGGCCCCCTGGGCAACAACTAGGTCTTGGGAGACCTATGGCCTCCACTAGTTCTTTGTCTGGTTGGCATTAGGACCTTATGGATGTAGGCCTTATAGCCAAAGGAGGACCCCAGGCTGAGCAAGGGCACTGACCAGCACAGCCCTGGCGTTTGGCAGAGAGGCTGCCAATCTCCCTTACCTATACATCAGCCTCATGGCTACATGGTAAGGTAGGAAGGGCCCCCAGCTGAGCAGAGCAAGATATAATCTGGAAAGTGGTGGCAGCCAGGCCCACTCTCTGCCTGAGGGGGCCCCGTCCAGGCCAGACAGGAAGCAGGCAGTCTTTCTATAGCAGGGCCCCAGCTGACCCCTCATTTTACATGGGAAACTGAGGCCTGGAGCCCGGTGGCACCACTCACTAGTGCTCAGGCCTCTGCCATGGTCCACAGCGTGGCTTTTCCACCCATCAGGTGCTCCATGCTCTGAGGCCTCCTGCTAGCTCCCTAGCAGCAATTAATCCTGCCCTGGTGCTGTTCCTTCTCTTTTGTTTTTTGAGACACGGTCTCTCTACATAGTCCTCACTGTCCTGGAACTCACAGAGATCCAACTATTGTTGCCTACCCAGGGAGGCAATTGTGTCACTAGGCAGCTTGTGGGTCATGAGGATAAGGACCATGCTGTCCTGTGTATCAGGCTTTTTCTTTTGGGCCACCAACCAGCTCCCAAATCATGACACAGAGACTTATTAGTTTTGAATGCTCGGCCTAGTTTAGGGATGTTAAATTAACCTGTTTATCTTTACCTTTTTGCCTTGGGGCTTTTTTTTTTTTTTTTTTTTTTTTTTTTTTTTTTTAGACG